CACATGATCCAAGATGGAACTTTGAAAGCCCTAATTAGTAAGATGGAAGAAGATGTCAAAGCGATTCCGCAACTACGAGGAAAATAGCGTATTTTTCATATATGAAAAATGATCCGGGCGCGCAAGGCATCTCGGTTGGAAATGGGCTTTTAAATATGTGTTAGAATATTTATCGTTTTTTAAGCCCATGTAAGATTTGAGGTAGGGAATAATTGGGAACAGTCGCTTTTTCTAATAAACTACAACAAGGTCATGATTAGAGGCGAAAGAAAACAATTGTCAACTTCAAACTAAAGTAAACTTTCAACCTTGCGCAGAGAAATATTGATAAATATTAAAGCAGACACGAACTCATCAAGTAGTGTGATAAGCCTGTCAAAAACTTGCTTACTCAGGACGTATTACAGGGGAATCTTTGCAGAAAGTAAGAAAGATTTCCTTCTCGTCGAGTGGAAACTTTTGCCGACTTGACAACGCACCGGAAGCGCGCAAAGAGCGCGCGTGCCAGTCCTACTCCGCATCGCGTTGCATGAAGAGTTAACTGCTCGATTCATCACTCAACTTCTCTCCACCCTGACAAAATTGAACCCGCTTCACTCGCTATCACTCCTTTACGGGAAGTAAACCGTGGAAGCGTACACAGTTTGACCTATCCCTGCAGTCGTACAACACAAATCGACTTTCTGCAATTGATATTTGGTCCTACACTGGTGACAAAACTCTAAATCTGCGACTAAATCTGCAACGGCGTTAAAACTGCTTTGGAGTCACGTTTTTATTCCTTTTTTTTCTGAGTAGAAGTTTTTGGATTATAAAAATATATATATATTTTTTTTTGCCAAGTTGTCGGTCTCATTCTGCGTTTCTCCGTCGAATCACTCCTTCACAATTGAATTTCTCAGATCCTTCAGCAAAGCAACTTAGGAAGCATCATGCAGTCATGCTGCAAAAACGAGCCAATGCTGGTAAGCAAACAATTCACACCGTATCCTAACAAGAAATTAGACTAATTTTAACTTCATGTTCATTTCATCATTACTAACGGAATTGTTCCGTCCTCACAGTTGTGTTGCGAAAGTCCTGATTTGAGGAATTGACTGGTGATCAAAGGAGACTAACATATTCGCTCACCTACATACCGATACCGAAGAGGAAAAAGAGACAGCTTCTTTAAAGTTCAGCGACAATAAAGGGCGTAGATACCGAAGAAGACAGACAACCACATGGCGTCACCAGACCCCAAACGAGGCCATCATGTAATTAACAATGATGTGAATAAGATATACCGCGACATTATAAAGGCATTTGTCGATACCCTCGGCGCAGAGTATTTCCATGGCTGTAAGATTTTAAACCTTACTGTTAAGAATATCATAAATGAGGTTGGTCTGCCGGCAGACTGTGTGCTTGGAACCGCACCTTTGCCTCTTGAAACGATGAAAAAAATAGAACAAAGCACTGTGCATTTCTCTCGAAGAGGGACTGATGAAAACGCTGAATCATTCGGCAAGAATAAATCAGTGCTTTTACACAATGCCACTATGTTAATGCATGAAATTCTCCTTTCGCTACAACAAAACGAAATGCAAATGCCCGCGGCTCCTAATGAAAAACTTGCTAAGCTTCGCGAGTCAATTAATTCCTTCAACAGAGATGTTTTCGTCGATAAGACAGCTTTAAAAGAGTGGAAGAAAAAACATAAGAAAAAGAATGATGAAAGTTTCAAAGAGGAGATAGAGCAAGTGGAGGAAATGATTTGGGAAATAGCAGGCGAGGGATCGAAACAGTTAGTCTTACATTGGGGACAATGGGCTTTTCGTGTGTCAGAGGGATTCCGTTGGGGATATTTCGAACCAAATTGATAAGTTCCTTCTATCTCTACCCCAAAAGAGTCAATAGTTTCATTTCTATTTGTTTTTTGATTAATGTCTTCTGATTATCTTTCACAAGTTAAAAAAAGCGGCACTGTGAAATACTAGAGATAAGAGTGGAGAATGATAAAAAGTCCACTAAATGTTATGCTCTTTTAAAAAGTTGTGCAGTGTAGCGCAGATATGCGACATGCACAGCAGAATGGATGCCAATATTGATGAACACAACACAAGACAAGTTCTGACTTCGATTAGGTTTTCTTTATCGGGATCAATGCCTCTCATCGTTTTGAATAACCCACATAAGACTGGTTACACAAGCACACGAATTGTATAAAGGACTGCAACCTTCGCAGTGAGTCCGTTTCTATGTTCCCTGTGGCCTTATCTTCAAGCAACAATCGCTCGAACTTGTTGTACTGTGCCGCTCCAAAGTAGCAAAGAAAGCTTTCAAAAAAGAGATAAAAAACAAATTAAATAGAGAAGAAAAAATTGAAGCTTCTAGCGAGTCGATCTGAAACCGGGCTGTTTGATATCCTAAAAAAGGCATCGTATTTTCCACATTCTAGTTTAATGGTTGATAAGCTTTGACCTTCGTTGGTATACTAAAAAAAAAAATTCACAAGTACTTAGGAGTAAATTTCGTTTCGTTCAATCTTATTTTAAGCGACAATAGCAAACGAAGGACGATTTCAAGCAATCTTTTTCGTTGTCGATGACCCTTCCAGTAAACCATCGGAATGTAATGATGGAAATTTCAATTTAAAAAGCATTTTGATATAAAGACAGACAACGAGTTTTTCTTTTTAGTATGTCTATACTTCAGGAATGTGATAAAGTCAATAATAAAGATTATAAGAAACCCGATAAACGAAAAGCGAAAGACTGTTGCTCATTCTGACTTATCAATCCAACGTGTAAATATGGAGGCAAATAAATTTGTTCATACTGATGCATGAACGCGTTTTCTTTACTTGTTGTATCTCGATATATTTGTAATGAATTTTCACAGCTCCTAGCATAGAATCAGAAATCAAAGTTCTGCTGCAAGATCGTGAGTAGTCCAGTGGTCAGTGCGCTGGACTCTAGGTCAGATGGCCCGGGTTCAAGTCCTGGCTGGGGCTTGACGTTGTGTCCTTAAGCAAGACGCTTCACTCACATTGCTTCGTCTTCTCGGATAGGACGTAAAGCCGGAGGTCCCGTCTCCTGCACCTATCAATTAGTTAATTTCGGCAAGGGACGTTAAAGAACCCACATCACGAGATTACTGTGATGTGGTCTGGCCTGTTTACTGGGAAGGGGGGGAGGGGGCATCTGTAAAAATTTCTCCTTTATTAATTGTAAACTGCCGCCGGCAGTCTGGAAAAGTCCCCCGCACAGTGTTGTAAAGCGCATTAGAGCATTTACATGGAAATGCGCTATAGAAATTGATCTATATTACTATATATTATTGCCTTGTTTTTTTCGTTTGAATACCTCTTACTGAGTTCAAAGCCGTACTATGAGCCGACTTCTTTCCGAAAAGCATACATGTGACCTGCAGGTTACGAAATAAAATCACACTGATCTTCGTAGTAATCAGCTAGAAATAGCATTGTTGTCCGATGGTATCCAATAGGATCTATTTGTCGGATGGACTCAATTGGAGTCCATTGGAGTCCAAGGAAGTCCATTCGTGTACATTGGAGTTACCGAAAGTTTAGTGGAAAACCTAGCCTGATACAGGTGCAGCATATGTAAAATATCAGAGGGGGGAGGCCACTGCCCATACATTCTCTTAAATCGAAACAATGTTCTCACAACTTGCAAAATCTTACTGGAAATTTTCAGCCGATAGTTCCATTGCAGACAAGCATAAGAAGTTTAAAAGGAAAAAATAGCGGTTAACTTAGGAACTTTGACGGGCTGGTTATTTTTTGAGGACCCGAAGACGCTTTCCATTTTGTAACGAACATCAGGACGGAATCAATACTCGTTAAATTTATCACTGTCGGCTCGGCTGATTTCTGCAATTCTGAATTTAGGCAGGCCTTGCATTGTAACATTCGCAAAACTAAATTAGTAAATAAAGAGCTTTTAGGGATTTCCCTTGTCGTTCTTTACGCGCAAACAGAGTACCATATTTGAAAAGATGACAGTGAAACGTTCTGCTGACGGATGAAGACAGAAATATTTTTGGCGACGATATAAATCGTTCAATCACACTTTACACATACATAGTAAACGATGCTCCAAACGCGCTGTGGGTAATATTTTCAGTTGTTCTGGAGCACTTCAGCCGTCGGTTTAGTTCTACTTTCAGGTTAGCGTAGTTTCGTGTTTTCGGTTATCCCGTTAAGTGTGAAGTATGATCTCGTTACTATTTTGAAACCAATCATGTGACGAGATGATTGGGAATTTTTTTTACTTTTCACAAGTTAAAATAATTTCCCTCACGAACCTTACATTTAAAGTGACGTAAGCGAAATATTTGGAGGCGTTTGTACGAATTTTATCGAAGCTTTGAACTTTGAGCCGCAACTTACACCTAAAGATAATTCCTACTTAACTTAAAGATAATTCCCATCTGAGCTCGGTTTTGTTTGCATCCTCGAACAGGCTTCGCCAAAGCATCATTAACACGCAGGCAAATTAAAAGAGCGTATCTATGATATACAGTTTTACTAGAGCACAATTTTTAAGCCATTGTTCAAAAAATAACAGTAAGAGTCCCTTGCGAGGATTTGAGCGGCCCGCTTGACTTAGGGAGTTCGTTGATAAGCCCGCGAATTTACCGCTTTGCAAGTTGTGTGATCATCGTTTTTCGATCTCAAACCTCTTCCCCGGTAAAATATGCCTTGTTCTCGAAGCCAAGGAACAAAACAGATTATTTCAAGCGCAGATGACCTGATCACTAAAAATAGACCTCATTTTTTAAGCCTCAAAGCGGAAAAGCGCTTAACGCAGGCAAATGCAATACGGATGAAATATGCCTCGCTCTTAATGTCATATAGCGAAACGGCTCATTTCTAGGAAGGGCGACTGGAAAAATAACTGGTTTTTCTACTTTAAATACAGAAAAATGCAGTATATGTGAAATACACCACGTTCTTAAAGCCTTAAAGATAGAGATAGCTTTATTAGGGAGTAAAATCATTGCAGCCCCCGGGCCGGCTGAAATACGACTTACTTTACAATGGAAATAAATTATCTCTTACTCTAAGATAACTAAAATAAAAGCTACAAAGTGTAATCTACAATAAAATACAATATGATACAATAATCTACAATAAAATACAATAAGAGAAGTATCAAAAACTAAAATACAAATAATTAAGATAGCTACTAATAATTAAAACTGTTCGCCATGATAAATGTGTTTTTGAACCTATTTGTCTTACAAATCGGTAGCTTGAAGTATCTCTGGCTGCGGGTGCGATAGGTGGACTCGTTGCGTGGAGGCAGTAGATCATGGAGCTTGTGGTTTTCGTCCCTTACAGTCTGATCAAATTGAGCATCGCACAAGATCTCCCTCCTCTCGTACAGTGACGCAACGTCAAGAGCTACTAGAGCCTCAGCGTAGGATAAGTCAGGTTGAATCATCCGCAACGCGCGTTTTTGCAACCCTTTTAAAACTAAACAGTGCTCAATACTTGAACGAGGTGGCGCAACACGGACAATTAAGAAAAATCGCACAACTAAGTTCGCGTTTTTGTTTACATTTGAGTTGCAATATAGATGTGTAAGCGAAACAGCGCTTAACGTTTAAGCGAGATCGCACGATACTCATTTCAAGCGCGGATGACTCGAAATATGTCTCTTTTTTCAATCCATTATGCGAAACGGCACTTAACACAGACCACCAAGTTCAGTAAACATGAAATATACTTCGTTCATAAAGCCATGAGGCGAACAGCTCATTTCAAGCGCGTAGGACTTGAGACATAACTCGTTTTTCAAGCATTTGAACGAAACAGCGCTAAACATAGACAAATCCAGTATGTATATAATATGTCTTGTTCTTAAAGCCATTAAGGGAAACAACTCATTTCAAGCGCGGATTATTCGAAATATACCTTATTCTTCAAAGCTGTTGAAACGCAGACGAATGCATGACAACAAATAAACATGAGTGAATATGCGTGATCAACGGCTGTAAAGAGTCATAGATATTTTGACCAAATTTATATTTACATAATTGTTACATCACTTTTGGGCGTTCTCCGTCATTCGTGGTTACTCGTAGTCACTCGTAATCACTCGTGGTCAGGTCAATCGTTGTCGCTTTTGTTCACCCCTGGTCGCTCGTGTCAACTTGTTGTCTCTCGTGGTCGCGCGTGGCCACTCGAGACGCGACCATAAATCATGAGTGTACATTCACTTTACAAGCAGTTTTCGTTCATGTAAACAATATTTTGATGAATATTTCTGAGTGAAATTCTGTTAGTTTATAACTACAGTTTTTTTGAAGCATTGAAAATCATGGGAACCTTTAATTCTATAAGAGCGTTTAGGGAAATGTAGTCCGGCGAGAATTCCTGAAGTTTTATCGCTTTTACCGCGCAGGGAATAATATAATCTAAGAACGGTGCAAACGGTCAGTTCAACTAACTTTTGAATACAGCATTTGATAAATGTAGGGAAAAAAATCTTTAATTTTTTTTTTCCTTTTGGATTTAAAGAGTCCTTTAATAAATGATCATTTGGGAATACAACCCCTGTGGCGCCATCTTTAAGAAAAAAGGAATGTTTCAGTTTTCTTGGATTTACAAGCAAATGAACAACAGATTTTTTTAGTAATCAGATTGCGTGTTGTGCCGTCTATGTCATAAATGCTTTTATTAATATCTGGATAATTGGATAATGCAATTCCATACTTTTTATTGGCTTAGACATTATGGTATAGGAGCTAATACATTATAATCTAATATCTGTACATTGTAACATCCGGTTTCTTCTTATAAAAATAAAGTCGAGAAGATTTGTCTAAAATCTTGCGGGCGTTCTTTATAATAAAGCAACTATTCCACTCGCGCTTGTTGAATATGAGGTTATTATAGCCGACTCGGTGCTACGCGCCTCATTGGCTATCTATCATCTCACATCCAACGCGCGCTCATGGAATAATTGTTAAATATCCTAACGCTCAATCATGATAACAACAAATCCTGAAAATCTCACCTCAATAAGATAAATCTTTCTAAAGATATCTTTTCTCAAAGGCAAATGAACACTGCGTTTTGAGAAAAGTGAAACTTTAAAATTTTAAATAACACACAAATGCAATTTTCATAACTTTTGAATCCCAAATTGTGTCGGTTTTTTTTTATCCTGATTGGTCCCCAAGAATTACCATGATCAAATGAAAGGGATCCTTTCTCGTATGTAACTCCTTCTTCTTCTCGAAAGGCTTCTCATCAAGTGTATAAAAGCTGCTCACCTTGACGGCGCGTGTTCTCTTTTTCTGTTTTCTAAGAATCAGACTTGTAACGTCTCTTCTAATCTTTAGCTTGCAAAGTCTCTATTGTAGTTAATCCACTAGGAACACAGAGTTTCTAATTTATTCACGGCTTCGTCTCAGGGAGTATCCAAAACTATTCACTCCGCCGCTGAGAAATCATAGTTAAAATAGCCTTTTTATACTTATCTAAATCCGGTAAGACGACTTGTAGCATCCTTACCGATTTTCTTCTGCTTTGGGCCAAATTAATTAGGCTGTAATAAACGAAAAAGAAAGCCTCTTTGTCATGGAAATGCCAATAATAAGTGTGAGCAGGAAATTGGAAATTGTCATCGAAGGTTTAATAAGTAAAAAAGAGCCAAAAAACACCTCTCCACATTAAATTTCAAGAGCCAGACTAAAATTTCGGTTAGGATAAAAATGCAAGTTTTTTCAATCAAATTTAGGTTAACCCCTGCCTTAACGGTAGTTGAGAGCTCAATGGCTGCAGCCAGCGCCCTCTTTCAATCAGTGCCGGCTGCCTATGAAAGTTCTCTTCTTGATGATAGCTTCTTTTGTCAATAATTTTCCCTCCTCCCCCCTCCTCCACACACACACACTTCAGCTCTTTCAGTTCACCCCTCCTAAACTGCTAAAGATTACTAACCGAATACTTTCAGAGGAAATATTATCGAGAGATAGATTAACTTAGAAGAAAAAAACGCAGCCAGTTTCATGTACTGAAAAATTTCCAGTGTCTAATTGGTAAAAAATTTACCTCAAATCCTGTTTTATTCACAGGTTTAATCGTTTCAAATAATCTTTATCTGGCAGCCAATGGCGAAAGAGGAAGGATATTGCGATGGCATACAGAAGATGTATGGCAAAAAGATTCCATTTGATCCAGAAGTGAAATATGTTATAGACAAAGGTATTGAGGAGACCAGAGAGATGGACCCTGAGGAAAGAGCACGAGTAATTGAAAGTGCTGGGTATTTAGCTTTCGACATAATGATTGTCGAGAGTATGGGAGATCATAAAGATGCTAACGTAGCCAAGAGAGTGAAGCAGGCTGCTGAAAAGTTCATAAAAGACCAGGTGGGGAAGATAACAAATGAAGCACCTCATAAATACGCCAAATTACTCGAGGATGCAAAAGAAGCCGCTGAAAAGAAAAGAGAGAAGATTTTCAGCGACGAAAGAATGAAGATTCTCAGCGAGGGAAAAAAACAAGCTGCTAAAAAAGCCTCTAAGCGGGAGAATTTCAAAGGACTCCACAACACATGCCGAAAAGTGAAGATGAACGGAAAGGTAAGAAATGATGGACAAGAGGACGAATTTGAAGAGGGACAAGCTTGAAGGTTTTACCTTATCAACAAAGATGTCGTATCTATTTATATAGACATCCTAGAAAAGTTTTCCGAAACCTAAGGGAGAAAGATTTCTTCGAAAGGGTTCTTAACTGCAGCTGAAAATAAAGGTTAATAAGTTTCTCCGGTTTCCTTTGGGATTTGGACCCCCCGGTCCAATCCGCTTGCGGATTTGTACCCCCTTCCGCGGATTTGGACCAACAAAACTAAGTGAAGTTCCCGAATAGACGAAGTTTTTTGCTTTTTTTTTTCGCTGTGCATGCGTGCACATGAAATGCTCATTACAGATTTCACTTCAGCCAGTTGTATTCTTTTGAGAGAGCACTCATTATGCATTGCCAGAGGGGGGTATCATTCTTCTAATGGGGGTAGGGAGGGGGGTTGGTTACATGGTATTCAGGCAGAACAGTGAGGGATCTGGCGTTGCCAACGGAGTATAAAGGGGATTATACAAAATTGACGTTCAATTAACTATTAGAAATAGATAATACTTTAATTTCAGGGTTAGAGTTAGGATTAGTGTTAGCGTCAGGGTTGGGATTAGTGATGCGATCATGCTGAGGTCCGTCACTGTTAGCTCAGCCTGGTAATCTCCGGTCATCGCTGTGAAGCAAGCCTCAGAAATTACATTGTCCACCCTTCGAGTGGACTATACTAAGAGCTTGCTCGATACCCTTTCCAATGGGTTGAGAAGACCACATCAGTCACAGCAGCCGTGTCTTCTAGCCGGATTTCATCGAGCAATTCTCTTTCAGATTTTATATTAAGATTCAAAAATTTCGGTTAAAGTGTTAAACATTGTTGCTATTATCAGATTTCATTATTATTTTTTATCTTGTTTTTCCTCATTTTTAATTTTATAATTATTTTTTTATTATTCGTTTCATTCATCAATTGATTTTTATAGGCTGTTGCCTCGAGAGCTCCATACGATGACTCTGCCTCACTGAGAAATGATCGGGCGGGGATTGTACTTTTCCTTTTAGGTAAGTCAAGTCATGAATTTCGATAACTTAGCTCATATCACGAACGCGCACCTACCGTAGCTCGGGCAGTGAATTTGAAGTAACTTGATTTGATGTGATGTCATGCAATGCAACGTGATGACATTTGCATGTCAATCTGAAATAAAAACAACTGAATTTGGTTATATCACCTAAGTTGAAATTGTAAATTGGCCACCGTGGCCAATTAGCAGTTTGTTGAAATTATGAATTGGCCACCGGTGCCCAATTTACAATTTCAACAAACTGCTAATTGGCCACCGTGGCCAATTAGCAGTTTGTTGAAATTGTGAATTGGCCACCGGTGCCCAATTTACAATTTCAACTTGGTTGATATAACCAAATTACATTGTTACCCCCACCGACGCAGCACTATAGTTTCTTTAGAAACTATCACCCCTTATTCATTTGAAATAAAAACAGTTAAAGTTGAAGTTCTCGAACGGACGAAGTTTTGGCCTTTTTCTTTTTCGCCATGCATTCGTGCACATGTGATGTTCATTACAGATTTTACCTCAGCCAAAGTTGTATTCTTCTGGAGGATCACTTATTATGCATTGCCTGAAGGGGTTGAGAATTATTCTTCTGAGGGGGGTAAGTCACATAGTATTTAGACCAAACATAGGGTGGATCAGTCGTCGCCAAACTGACGTTAGATAAACTGGCAATGAGGGGGGGATAACAATATTACAGAGCCTTGTGGGTGATCAAGTCAATTCTATTGTGACACAATCAAAATCCTCCAACGCCTTTCCCCTCTTCCCCTGGTGATAAATTCTGACTACTCCCTAAAACGTTTTTCATTTTACGTTGCAGCCTTACAGAGGTTACGATACACCGACGTGTACTCACTGGAATTGTTTTTGTTTTTTTGGCCTGTTTGCTTGTGTTTCGTTCCCAATTAAACGTTCAGAATATTTTTTGGATGGCTGTAGAAACACTGGCAGATATAACCAACTTAGAACTTAAAAAAAAAAACTAGACGAGAGGAGATAAGAGCTGAAATAGACACCTTCATTTTATTATTACACACCTTTTGGTCACACCTTCATTTTGGTGTGACCAAACGAGTCTCATAAATTCTTGACACTGAAGTATCCAGTATTTTAGAATAGCATTGACGATGGTCTACTTGAGGTAGTAAGAGTTGATGAGAGTCAACGAGGATTGAAGGGTGTTCATAAAGGGCGCAGATTGATAAGTTCACTTAATAATTTAAGAGAGTTCAAGCTCCTGCTCATTTATTTGCTGCGAGTTTGGAGGATGTAAGGTTCGCGTTCAAAATCAGAAACTTACCATCGTAACTGTGCATCGCGCACGCAGATCCGAGATCTTACGATAGCACTTACCTATTTACCGATCTCTACTTACCGATCTCTAACCGAGATCTCGAGATCTCTTAAGCGTTTTCGAGAAAATAAACTAATTCTATGTAATTGTGGCAATTGCAATTTAGAAAGTATGTTAATTCACAGACAGATGACGAGTTTGTTTTTGGTATGTTTAGACCCCAAAGATGTTGTAAAGGCAATGAAAATGATGAGAACAAATCCGTTCATGGAAAAGCGAAAGACTGTTACTCATTCTGACTCAACAATGCAACGTGTAAATAGGGACGCAAATAGATTTGTTCATGCTGATATATAAACGAGTTTTCTTTATTCATTGTATCTTGATATATTTGTTATGGATTTTATAGCTCCCGGCATTTTCTCTCAAATCATAGTTCTGCTGCAAAATCTTATCACACGGTTCCATTGACCAAGTGGATAACCCTGTTTTTCAGTTTAAATACCTCTTACTAACCGAGTTCCCTCAAGTAGGTTTATTCGTGAGTTTATACGATTCGAGGCGATTTCCTATGTTTTGTATCAAGGCCGGTACTTGCCTCTTGAAAGGAAACTTCGTCTTTAACCTTATGTGCGACAAATGTAGATTTGATGGCGACTTCTATGTTCGTAGTTTGGATGCCAGCGTGGAAAGGAGCGCCGGACTGTTTCTTTTTTCCTGACAAAATGGTGCCATTTCTCTCTTCTTTAGGCCTGTTTTTTCCTTTTTCTTTGCCCAGTTACTCCTTGCTGATTTTAATTTATGTTTTTTATCCATGAGGAAAGACTTTTCAACAGCAGAGAACTTCCACGTGTGAATTTTGTTAAGTGCGCGATGTAAATAAAATATGCAATTAACATGAAATTACGTATGATGGACGATCCTCGCAGTAGATAGCGCTATTTGAGCAATAGCGAAATTCAGACCTGAAAAAAATCAGGCCTGTACGGGACTCGAACCACTGACCTCTGCGATACTAGTGCAGCGCTCTAACCAATTGAGCTAACAAGCCAACTGAGAGCAGGCCGTTAAGTTGATTCGTAATGAACCCGTGAAAGTGATAAATGAGATAGAATAAATATATGAAAATCATATATTTTGAACTGCGGTATTTGATACGTATGATGGACGATCCTCGCAGTAGATAGCGCTATTTGAGCAATAGCGAAATTCAGACCTGAAAAAAATCAGGCCTGTACGGTTACTTTCAATTGGTTAGAGCGCTGCACTAGTATCGCAGAGGTCAGTGGTTCGAGTCCCGTACAGGCCTGATTTTTTTCAGGTCTGAATTTCGCTATTGCTCAAATAGCGCTATCTACTGCGAGGATCGTCCATCATACGTATCAAATACCGCAGTTCAAAATATATGATTTTCATATATTTATTCTATCTCATTTATCACTTTCACGGGTTCATTACGAATCAACTTAACGGCCTGCTCTCAGTTGGCTTGTTAGCTCAATTGGTTAGAGCGCTGCACTAGTATCGCAGAGGTCAGTGGTTCGAGTCCCGTACAGGCCTGATTTTTTTCAGGTCTGAATTTCGCTATTGCTCAAATAGCGCTATCTACTGCGAGGATCGTCCATCATACGTATCAAATACCGCAGTTCAAAATATATGATTTTCATATATTTATTCTATCTCATTTATCACTTTCACGGGTTCATTACGAATCAACTTAACGGCCTGCTCTCAGTTGGCTTGTTAGCTCAATTGGTTAGAGCGCTGCACTAGTATCGCAGAGGTCAGTGGTTCGAGTCCCGTACAGGCCTGATTTTTTTCAGGTCTGAATTTCGCTATTGCTTAAATAGCGCTATCTACTGCGAGGATCGTGCATCATACGTATCAAATACCGCAGTTCAAAATATATGATTTTCATATATTTATTCTATCTCATTTATCACTTTCACGGGTTCATTACGAATCAACTTAACGGCCTGCTCTCAGTTGGCTTGTTAGCTCAATTGGTTAGAGCGCTGCACTAGTATCGCAGAGGTCAGTGGTTCGAGTCCCGTACAGGCCTGATTTTTTTCAGGTCTGAATTTCGCTATTGCTCAAATAGCGCTATCTACTGCGAGGATCGTCCATCATACGTATCAAATACCGCAGTTCAAAATATATGATTTTCATATATTTATTCTATCTCATTTATCACTTTCACGGGTTCATTACGAATCAACTTAACGGCCTGCTCTCAGTTGGCTTGTTAGCTCAATTGGTTAGAGCGCTGCACTAGTATCGCAGAGGTCAGTGGTTCGAGTCCCGTACAGGCCTGATTTTTTTCAGGTCTGAATTTCGCTATTGCTCAAATAGCGCTATCTACTGCGAGGATCGTCCATCATACGTATCAAATACCGCAGTTCAAAATATATGATTTTCATATATTTATTCTATCTCATTTATCACTTTCACGGGTTCATTACGAATCAACTTAACGGCCTGCTCTCAGTTGGCTTGTTAGCTCAATTGGTTAGAGCGCTGCACTAGTATCGCAGAGGTCAGTGGTTCGAGTCCCGTACAGGCCTGATTTTTTTCAGGTCTGAATTTCGCTATTGCTCAAATAGCGCTATCTACTGCGAGGATCGTCCATCATACGTATCAAATACCGCAGTTCAAAATATATGATTTTCATATATTTATTCTATCTTAACATGAAATTGCCGCGAATATTCCCCCAGGCGGTGCGCCCATTTACGAGATAATGACACCTTCCTGATTTATTAACTTTTAATTTAAAATACGTTTTCTTGAATGAGTCAGACGATTTTTGATATTTTAAAATTGTTCTTTTTGTAAATGTTAAGTAAAATGTCTAACTTCAATCTAGTCCAATAAAAGAAAAAAAAACATAGTTTTCGGCCTCTGAAGGTGGAAAGTAACCTTAACCTACTGGCAAAAAAATAGTTTAAGGAAAAAGACTTGGGTTGTTTATGCACAGAAATTGAGGTTGGCGTATTGGTCATTATGAAACTGAGGCTTGGAATTTTTAACAAAGACTTAGCTTATCGCTTCAACATGTTTTCTTCTGTTCTTTCTGAGATTGTCAGGACATGGATCAGGTTTTTTGAGGAGTGAACCGCAAGTACTGATTCAATTTCCTCCTAAAGATGTTATACAGCTTCACATGCCCTACTTGTTTAAGGAATTTTACCCAAAAACTGCAATAATAATTGATTGCACTGAAATTGAGATGGAAAGACAATTTTGGAATAATATTGCATATATTACTTGTTTTACATCATTTGTTAGCAATTTACTTATTCCATGAGGTAAATAAACAACCCTTTTATAGAGCACCAGCAGTTGCATTTTAAGAATAGAATGAAATAAACCGGGGAAGCAATAATTAAGAGTACATGTCCGAAAAAATTCAGACAACTAGCGGCAAACCTTGAAACATCGAATTCGTTCACACTTTCAAGTTTGGAAGAGTAATGTGTCCCAAGAATCCTGGTATATTTGGTTTGACTAAGTATCGTTTTATTTTGGAGATATATGTGAATAAGCGAACATGGTCGAAAATTTCGAATTCACGGCTGATTTTAGGTCCAAATTAAGTGGCTTAGATAGAAGAAATAAACTAATTTACAATCAAAATAACCCCTAAGCCCTAATGAACAATGCCTTAGCTATTGTCTGACCAAGTTATAGGCTCATCACGTAATTCTATAAGCCGAAAACTACTTTCAATAGGCGAAGGTGTTTTAAAAATTTCAATGAACAAGCTTTCAACAACGATATAGAGTGTATTCCTCTTAATATTGCCTATATTTTTCAGGATGTCAGCGATATTTGCTGGGCATGGGAAAAATTGTTTGCAGATCGACCATGCTCCTATGAAATCTAAACGCTTCAGGGATGTCCCTTGAAAATCAAAATTGATTACACTGGAAACAAGCAAAGCTATGTGGAAGAGAAATGCTCTCAAGCGTAAATTTTATCAAACAGATGTCAAAGAAACCGTGTGGTCGCTATGCGTCGTCAATCTATTTATGCATCATTTTGATCAGCTATGCACTTCGCGAGCGGGTAATCCCGGGGCTTTCTGGAAATCACTGCGGCTTTTAATGCATACCAGAAAACACAGGTCGGAGGACTTTATTGTTCTCAAAGAAGATGACAGAATCATCAGGGACCAGAGTGAAGTTGCTGAAACCTTTAATAAGTACTTTATTAACATCACGAAGGATTTAATTATTCATGATAACAGTGCTTTCAGTGATCAGATTCATTTAAAGAGAATTCATGGGGTAAACAATGAAGCAGCCAATGCATTTAGTTTTCATTTGACTAACCACCATGTTGTGAAAACGATACTTGAAGATATCAAGACTAACAAAGCACAGGCATACGACTTTTTTTCCACCACAGGCTGATCTATTTAATACCATTATAACAACAGCACAGGTTCCGGATAGCTGGAAACGAGGCCAAATTACACCACTTCACAAAATGGGTAGTGCCTTAGACAAGACGAATTTGAGACAGGTCACTGTATTGCCTGCTTTTTCCAAAGTATTTGAGAAAATCATTCACATGCAGTTGGCTCTTTTAGCCTTATAATCTGGATATATCAACAAAGTTGAAATGGTAAATTGGCCACCGTAACGATTACAAAAGCTGACGTTTCGAGCGTTAGCCCTTCACCATTCGCTCCNGGTGACTGTAAGACCCCTGATTTTAAGAACCCCTGTTTGTAAGAACCCCTATTTGTAAGAACCCCTGTTTGTAAGAGCCCCTGATTGTAAGTACCCCTGATTGTAAGAACCCCTGACTGTAAGACCCCTGATTTTAAGAACCTCTGTTTGTAAGAACCCCTGTTTGTAAGAACCCCTGATTGTAAGAACCCCTGAATGTAAGAACCCCTGACTATAAGACCCATCTAGGGGTCTGCGCGCAG